ATGAATAGAAGTTGTAAGCTCCAATGCTAAATACTCAATAACTGGTAACTCTCATGGTGTAGAATCTTTTCCAGTATATATACATATAAGATTTTGAATCACAAAACACTAATAGTTTTATACTATATTTGATGGTATTTACATATTAATGACACCTACTGTAAAATCCAAGTAATTGTTTGTCAACTATTCTGCAATATAGCGATGAGTATAAATTTTTTGAGCTTTTAACAATGTGATTAAACTGTTCTTTTATTGGCACCAATTTACTATTCTGTTTCTCACTGCTCTGGTTGAAACATCATTAAATTGAAGAATCAAAGCTGAAGTTAAAAATTTTTCACACATGACAAATCAACATAGTTGATGCCTGCATTTTATCAAATATTTCTTTAACAGTTTAATGATTAATTTTAATATGTCAGCTTAAAAACAAAAACAAAACAGTGTTTTCAACTGTAACTGGTAACTGTAAACTGCAAGTTATAATAACACAAATCAAGCTATGTCTTGTTTAATGTTAGTTTGCTATAATTTGCAAAATTTCATTAGTAACAAACAATTTTTGACTAAATCTAAAGTGCTTGTATTCAATTTATCAGGACCTTCTTGGTGCATAAAATATTATATTTGCTATTTGTGAAATACGTAATGAACATAAAAATGATAGATACCTGTACCATTTTTTACCCAAATTTTTTGCTCTTTTGTTCCTCTACCCCAAAAAAACTCAGGTAAGAACTATTATTGAAGGGTTTGTAATTCTAACCTTTGAAGATCTACTTCATAGTCAATACTATTCTCTTCAGCAGTATTCTGTTCAATATATAACATATATTCTCTTCAGTTCTGTTTAACACAAAAGTCTATAGTGATCTTCTAATTCATCACAAAAAACAGCTTTACAATTTAAACAAATTATGTTAAAATTTGTTGAAATTTAAACTCATTAAAATTGTGGAAAAATCTAAAATGACACTGGACTTTATAAGTTAAATTAATGGTGATAACCGGAAAATTAACTTTGCACAATTTTGCTCTGTTATGTTGTTTTACCATTTTTGTCCATGTTGTTTTACCATTTTGGTGTCTTTAAATAAAATGTGTTTTTGTATATATAATTTTTTTTTTTTGCATTTACATGTTATATATAACATGAATTTTCATGTTTCATATAAACATATTTTTGTTATTGCTTTTTTTTTGTATTTTTTTGTTTTTCACCTCTCTAAGGCTGGATTCTATTGGATACTGAGGAGGTATATATATATATATATATATATATATATATATATATATATATATAGTATATATATATATATATATATATATATATATATATATATATATATATATATATATATATATATTATATATATATATATATATATATATATATATTTTTTTTTTTAATATAGTAACAAACTTTTGTTACACTCTTCTCACAACCCAATAGCACTGAGGCATAAACCGTTTGAAACATGATAAACAAGCCTTAGGGAAGTAAATACATTTTTAAAAAAATTTAAATTTTAATCTAATTTTGTTTAAGCAATTAGCACAGCTAATGTTGGTATAATTATTGATGAATCAATCGATGGTCTGTTACTTTCTCTTACTCAGCGATTTATTTTTAACTTACTACTACTTTTGAAAAAAGAATCCTATATTTCTATTGCTACTGCTGGTAAAAGTATAAAATTGGTATTTGTTTTTTATATTTTAATTTAATCTCTCTCTTAAAAAATAGTATAAATGTAATGCAGGGTTGCAGAGCTGGATAAAGGAGGGGGCTAGGAAGATAATAGCCCTGGGTGACAGTTTTTGGGGCTCTATTTTAAAATAAAAGATTTTTTAAAGGAAAATCTAAAAATAAAATCTTTGATTAATGAATGGAATGTTGCCTTCTGCTTTAAAATAATCCCAGGCCCAAAAATATCCTTATCTGCCACTGTAGGGTTGCCACTCAATCTGGTTAACTTTAAAAGATCATAAATCCCAGGTAAAACCTGAAAAACTCAGGGATTTTTTTCTTAATTTTCAAGAAATAATCAGAAAAAATTTGGATTGTAAAATTTATGTTCCATTTATATGGTTTTTTATTTTTAATATTAAATTCGAATTTATATTTCACACTAAAGATTTTATTTAAAATATTTAAAAAATTTAGTATTGTTTTAGATAGGCAATAGTAAAATACTTAGTAAAATATAAACTAATAAATAACATATACTATTTTTTATATAAAAAAGCTATAACTATTTTACATATAAATAATATGATATGGTTGTAAGTAGAATAAAGGTTTCAAAAATAATTTTATGTAAAGTTATATTGTTAATTAAAATGGATGAAGCATTTTTTTTAATAATTAGTTTACTCAAAATATAATTGGTTTACTAAGAATATAAAGAGTACTTTGTCAAAACTGATAACAATAAATTTGCTAAATTTAGCAGTTGTAAAATTTACAACAACTGCTAATTTTTTATAGTCAAAGTCCAGATATCTCTACAGATATATGATGTAAAAAAACTTGTTGTAGAAATATTTATACAGTCGTTGTAGAAATATTTCTACAGTTGTTGTAAAAAAATTTTGTCATAGAAATAGAAAAACAGGACTATAACTATAAAATACAAATTTTTCAAAGAGCTTTCCATATACCCAAATGAGTGTGAATTAAAATTTTTGAGTATATGCACTGTAGAGTGGAAAAGAAAAACTGAATTTAAATATCACACTTTAACTTGGTTTACAAAAGTATTTCTAAATCCAACAACCGGGTTTCCAAGAGTATTCCTAAATTTTATTTATTCTCTGAAAAATTAACAGTTTGCATGTATTACATGAAGTTTTATATTTAGTTCTTAGTCTAAATCATAGAATTTAAAAAAAAATAACTGACATTCTATCAGACTGATCAACCAATGACTTCATACATATTCAATGATCTTGATAAAAAATATTTTAGCTTTATTTTTTAAATTATCAGTAAATCAAAAATACAAGAATTTAATCTTTATAAAATAGAGAACTTTTTATCAAGAAAAATATTTGGTTTTGCAGCTGAGGTTTGGGTTAGGGTTAGGATAACCCTGGGTTTGGGTTTGGATATTTGGGTTTAAGTTTGGATAACCCTGAAAGATTGTAAAAAAAAAAAAAAATAGAAAAAAACTCAGAAAGTTTAAAAAGCTAAACTCAGGGGAAAAAGCTCTTTACCCAGAGAAAATTAGGGTAAACTTTTTATAGAAACTGTTTTTAAGATAATTAATATATAAGATATTTGAGAATAAAATAATAAGATATATAAATATAATAAGATATTTGAGGAAAAAAAAGAGTTAGCTATTAACTTGTCATTTTTTAATCCTGGCACCAAATTCCTTAAGAAATATGAAAACCTTGACTAATTGCCAAAACTCACCCATATTGCTATATATATGTAATATATATATATAGATATATATATATATATATATATACTATATATATATATATATATATATATATATATATATATATATATATACTATATGTATGTATATATATATATGTATGTATATATATTATATATATATATATATATATATATATATATACTATATATATATATATATATATATATATATACTATATATATATATATATACATATACATTGATTGGAATAAAACTTGTCAAAAGAGCTCAATATATTTCACAACTTTAATGTGCATCTGAAGATCAAGTTTTCAAATGTTTAAGCAACCATCTGGTATTGATTTGCATAGTTGATGACTTTATTAACAGATGTGTTATTACTATGCAAAAAATACTTACGGCAATTAAATCATAATATAACTTAAATAGTACCAAATAAACAATTTTAAATAA